AAAAGAAAAAAAAAAAAAAAAAAAAAAAAAAACTAGTGACAAGAGTTTCAAGACGGAGGCAGCTGCTGCTGCGGTGACCTAGAGGACCCAAACCCTCTCGTTATTGTTATTGTTACATGTTAATACTCTTAAGAGGACTAAGGGCAAATTTGTAAAAACAACAATAAATGTTTTACTATGATTTTAGAGTAACAATTATTGTGAAACAAAAGAAATTCTCTAAAACGATAAATAAAATGGGAACAAGGGAGTAATAAAATAGTTTGATGATTCATATAATAAAAAAAAAATTATCAAGATTGTAAAAATAAGTTAATGATGTCCTTGAGACCTCGTTTGGTTGCCGATTAGTCATGATAAGATTAAACAATGTAATGAAAACCCAAATATTGTTTTACCAAAAAGCTCCCTAAGGGGCATGAAATGGTAATATTTCCGGATTGAACCAGAAAGTTATATATATGGTTCATCAAATACCACACAAATTTCAATTATTTAATTAATCATGGCTAATATCCTCAACTAGCTAGGAGTGTGAACGAGCCTCGTTTGCCTTTTTTGGCAGGCTCGAGCTCGTCGAGTTCCTTCTTTTTGTTCATTTTGTCGAGTTCGATCCCAAGCTCATTTTGTTGTTTTTCTTTTTTTTTTTTTAAATATTTTTTTAATTATTATTTTATTATTATTAAAATTTATTTGAAAAAGTACAAAATAAAAAATAAATTGTAGTTATATATTTTTTTAATATTTATATTTCATTTTTATTTATTTCTATAATATTTTATACTATTATACATTATTTATACAAAAAATAATATATAAAAAAGGGGTAATGGCAAATAGGCCCATGACAAGGGCACTTAATTAAAAGAGGGACATCCAATTTTTTTGTCTTTCAAATAAATCCAGTCCATTCAAACTTATTTGCAAATAAGGAAAATCCTTTTATATATACCAAAATTACCCCCAATTCATTGAAACCCAATTTAACTCCAATTTCACGATTTACACCCCAATTTAGCCCAATTTCATCAATTAACCAATTTTAACCCTAATTTCAATTTTGACCCCAATTTTGACCCACCACCACCGGAGACCGCCGGTCGCCGCCGTTGACCGACGTTGACCGGCGGAAACCGCCTGTCTCAGGCGTTAACTTTTTTTTTTTTTGAAATTTTTTGTTTTCTTGAAATTTTTTTCCGGCCGGTCAACTGCCGTTGACCGCCGGGTCTCCGGCGTTGACTTTTTTTTTTTTTTTTTTTTTTTTGGTAATTTTGTTTTTTCGTAAAAATAATATTTTAATTAATACTACTGTTTTGGCTGCTAAATTATTGTCTCCGGCAGTTATTTAACTGTCGGAGACAGTAATTTAACTGTTAATTGACTCTTTTGTTTTTTTTTTTTCTTCAAAAATATTTTAATTAATATTACTGTATTCGTTGCTAAATTACTGTCTCCAACAGTTATTTAACTGTCGGAGAGAGTAATTTAACTGTTAATTGACTTTTTTATTCTTAAAAAAAATAATTTTAATTAATATTACTGTATTCGTTGCTAAATTACTGTCTCCGGCAGTTATTTAACTGTCGGAGACAGTAATTTAACTGTTAATTGACCTTTTTTTTTTTTTTTCCTTCAAAAATTTATTTTAATTAATATTACTGTCTTGGATGTTAAATTACTGTCTCCAACAGTAATTTAACTGTCTTAGACAATAATATTAATAATATTACTGTTCGGAAAAATAATATTCATAATATTACTGTCCCAAACAGTAATATTACTGTCTGAGACAGTAATTTAGTAGTCAAGACAGTAATATTAATTAAAATATTTTTTTTCTAAGAAAAAAAAAAAAAAAAAAAGTCAACGCCGGAGACCGGCGGTCAACGGTGGTTGACCGGCCGGAAAAAAATTTCAGGAAACAAAAAATTTCAAAAAAAAAAAAAAAAAAAAAAAAAAGTCAACGCCAGAAGCTGGCCGGAAAAAAAACATTTCAGAAAAAAATTTATTTTCTGAAAAAAAAAAGTTTTGGGGGTTAATGTGATATATTTGTTTAAATCCGGGGTCAATGTGTAATATTAAGGAAGTTAGAGCGTAATGGGTGGAATTGATAAGAATTATATTATTTAGGGTATTTTAGAGTAAAGACATGGGGATGGGCTTAATTGAGAGACTGTTTTTTTGTGGACCAAGATGCATTTGCCCTATAAAAAAATTAAAAAAAATAAATAAATAGATAAGGCTCGCGAGCCGGCTCGTGAGCTCACTAACAACTAAAAACTAGCTCGAGCTCGAGCTCAAAAAACTCGAGTCCGAGTTCGAGCTTTTCGAACCAGCTCATCGAGCTCACGAGTCGACTCGACTCGTTTACCACCCCAATCCTCAACCAAACGAGGCCTTATTGTTTCCAAATAGTATGTAACATTATATTACTTTACGTACAACATATGGCTTCTTTCTTAAGTAAAAGTTCACCAAACATTAAAAAAATATCTTAACACAAAAATGAAGTAAATTAAACCAAAACAATTTGCATGTTTGATTTATCACACATTACAAAATCATGTATTTTTCAGAGATTAGGTATTCTGACCAAACTCGAGCCTCGCCAAAATCATATATAAATTTACGTTTTGTTAAGATTATACACGCACTCGGTGAATTCACCGGATTATATTCTGTAATTAAACATGTATATATCTATACAGGGGCGGACCCAGGGGTGTTTTCTTGGGGGGGCTGAAATATAGGGGTAAGTTAAGAAATAATTTTTTTTTTGTTTTTAGGACTAAAGTGTACAAAATGAAAAGTTTGGGGGGGCGAAAGTGCATTAACTAATACATAAATACCAAAAAAAAAAAAAAGCTTAAAAATAAAATCTTGGGGGGGCGGGGGCCACCACAGCCACAAGCGTGGGTACGCCCCTGTATCTATACATATGTTACGCACGTCGAATTAAAGCTATGTATCATATTTGGTTATGCTATGAATTAGAAATATGAGTAGAATCCAAACCTGAATAATTTCTTCCTTAGTCTTTTTCCCAATTTCTTCGGCTTTGTCGTACGTTATTGCGTACCGTTCGATTGTGTTGTCCATCACACTGTTATCATTTTAAAAAAAATGTAGAGTTATTTGAATATGATCTATGTCGTCGCTCGTACGAAGAATTATTAAATAAGAGTAATTAAGCGGCCGGTGTGTGCGATCGAGATTCTCGTACGATATATCGGTAAACCACATCGTCAAAAATAGTGAAACATATGTAATATATACTATATAACATGCTATATATACAGTACACTTCTTTCAGTAAGTAAGAATTTCATCAGTTAATAATAAATGTTTTTAGTTTAATCAAGTTAATTTCAAGATTTTTATTGCGAATATATTTTTAGATAACTTTGTTAAAATGAATATAATCAAAAATGGTTTTGTGTTGATTAAGTCTGCAGGGTACATATAAATTTGTCACAAAATTTAAATTGCAGGATTTTGGTTTTCAACATTACACTAATTTCAAATATTACCTTTGAATAATCTTTCATTCAAAGTAGGGGTGAGTGTCGGATGGAACGGATTGAAATTAATCTTTTCGGAAATTATTCAATTGTTTTTTTTTTCTGAAATACAAAACTAATTCCAATTCCAATTCCAAAATGAAAATTTTGAAATTTTCGGAAATCACACGAGTTTTAACATTTTGAAAAAGTTTCGAAAACTTTCATAAAAAAAATGAAAAATAATAAGAACACCCACTTTCATAAAATTATAAAACTAGAACTAATGATCATATGATAAATTCTAATATTTTAAAAATAAATATAATAATTCCAATTGCACAATTTCTTCATCATGCATAATTATAACAAGGTTTAATTCCAACACCTTTTTTATAATTTAAACGTCGTCCAATTAAAAAATCAGTGTAACAAAGGGTTAATTCAAAACTCCCAAGTGGGAATAAAAGTAATAAAACAAATAGTTAAAGATACAACTATAGTCCATAGATAGGACTTGCATACAGAAAATAATAATAATAATTATTAGGCGAAATTACGTCAACCCCTGAGTTATAGTAAAATTACGAAAACCCCCTCTCATGTTTGGGTAATTACAGCACCCCATCAACTATGTATTATTTTATGAAAAGACCCCTCCAAATATATATATATTTAGGGATGTTAATTCGGTAATAAAACCGAACCAAAATTTCGGTACGCCAACATTCATACCGTTTATCGAACTAAATATACTATTTGGTTCGATAAATAACCGAATTACATAAATTTTATGCAATGATATTTAAAAGGAGAGGGTGGTTGTAATTACCCAAACAAGAGGGATTTTCTAATTATTATTATTATTAGGGTAAATTACACCCACACCCCTGAGGTATGCTTATATAACTTTAAGGTCCATGTGGTATCGATAATTACACTCACCCCCATGTGGATACATTATTCCGATAGGGTTCTAATGGACTATTACTTTTAGCGGACTATTACTTTTAGTTAGTGGTGGAGATAACATAAAGTTATGGGGTGACATGGCTCCCCCAATATTTCTTAAATCATCCATAACTCTTTGTTATCTTCACCACTTCCTGAAACCAATAGTACGTTAGAACTCTATCTTAATAACGTATCCAATGCATTATACCATTAGAGTTTATAACTACGTTCTAGGGGGGTGAGTGTAATTCTCGATACCACATGGACCTTAAAGTAATTTAAGTATACCTCAGGGGTGTGGGTGTAA